ATATAGTAAAAAAAAAAGTAAATTGTACACTGTAAATGGGTGAACTGAATGGAATGTGAATTATATCTCAATGCCGATTTTACAAATTCTCCCCACGGATCATCTTGTCAAGGGCGCACACACCCCACTTTGGAAAACTCTGGCAGACTGTCCCTGTGACTACCCGACTGCCTTCCTCCAGCCTTGCTCTGCTCCAGTCCCTCCCTGGTTCTGGCTAAACTATGTTTCATACTATGTCACTTAACCTTAACTGGCTCACGTTTGCCAATAAGATGCAGCCCAAACTCTGCCATGGCCTTAGATCGTGATTACACTTCTCCAAAATAGATACGTGTTATATCCTTGTCTTAGAGGTCTGTATTTAACATGCATTAAATACTTAATGAAACAGTTAATTAAATCACATTGATGTTATGCTCAAGCTCACTAAACACTGTTTAAGGTCTTTAAAACTGGTTTAAACATGAAATGATGGGACAGAATCTTTCTCGTGGTGCTTTCGGCAGTAGCCCCCTCACACTGACTCAGGTCAGATGTTCTTCATTGTAAGTTCCATACCGCTTGGCTTTGATAAGGTTGCAGTGCTTAGCAATTTGACTTATAAACTGCCTCCCAGATTCCTAGAAATGTCATTACCTTCTGAGTCATCTGCCTACTTTAAAACAGCACAAAGGAAACAGTGGGAACCCTCCCATCTTTACCTGCTTCCCTTTTTAAAAAATTCATTTACTCAGCCCTGTTTCCTGAGGGACCTCTGTATCGGGTATAAACTGTGCGTGCATTATAAAACAGCTAAGGCAATGGTCTTGACTGTCAGCTCATTAGTGCTTAAGGTGTGTGTTAATTTATGTTAGGCAGGTGATACCTGGAAGCCAAAAACTATGCTACAGACGATGGCCTCTGCCCAACAGTGACTAGACTCCAGAGGATTTGAGAGAGGGACTTGAAAAGAACCGTTTTCAGCCTTTAAAGAGCTTGTGACCATTAGAGGAGATAAAGTCACACAGGAGTCAGAGGCCGTCTTGTAATAAGCATGTGGTACAGAAGTTTGCGTGCAGGAGAGGAAGAGTGTGCGGTCGGGAGTGGGGTTCCAAGAAGGGCCGGGGCACCCACTGCGTGTTCGAGAGCCACAGGAGAGGGCGCATCAGCACCGACGGAGTTGACCAAGCTCTGAGAGCTGAGGTCAGCCTCGAAACATGAGGCAATGGAACGTTTTGAAGCTTGTTTCCAGCAGCCCTTTGGATTTAAGAAGGTTGTTCCAAGGCACGTTCATGACCATGGGTTGGGAGAAGGGGGTGCTGCCCACTGTCCTTACCTGTGGCCTTGAGCCAGAGCCCTCTGGATCTCCATCACCTGTAAGAGGTGAGAAGGGACGATAGCCAGGTTCTCTTCCACTTCAGAGTTCCAAGGATTCTGTACTCCGCAGCTGGGACGGGGTGGGGAGCGTGATGGCAGGGGCCAGGGCTTCTCTAGCTCCCAGCACAGTGCCTGTCGCACAGTAGGTGTTCAGTGAGGGTTGCTGGTGGGTGGCTTTTCTTTCTCCGCCCCCCACGGAGCATTCTGCTGTCTCTCTCCAGTCCTCGCTATCCCTGCTCCTTTCCCCTTGCAGCTGCAGTCTTCGTATTGTCATCCCCTCTTATTTCCATATCTGTTCTTTCAAACTTTTTTCCATGAGAGGTGATAAGTAAGCCTTAAGCTTGGTGTAAAAGGCGAAAGAGCTGATTTCTGACCCTCACTAGGGGTGGCTGGGCCACTGGTCCGAGCAGCAGAATAAAGGCCCAACCTTGAGTCACTTCGAGACTTTGAACCTCCACTTGCCTGGCCCCGTTGCCTCATCAGTCAGAAGCCCTTTCTTCATGGGAATGGAATTAGAGTTCAGTGTTTTAAAACAAAATAGGAGATTTTCATCAAAGGACTGTATAAGTAGGGGAAAAAATAAATCGTAGGTGATATCATCTGATCTTTGCTGTTTACATAAAATTTCACTGCATATATTATGAAAGGTTTTACCAGTTACATGTACTGACATACAACCACAGTGATTTTTCTTGCATCTATGATTTTAATGCCACTCCTTAAGTTACCACTTCCTAACTTAAAAGTTTCCAGGAGTACATACCATTTCCTGTCCCCTTTCTTTAAACTCTCAGCTGTGTTTTCTGTTTCTTTGCCTTCTCTGAAATCCCATTTGTTCGTATTGGCTCCTAAGAACAGTGTAGCTGCTCCCCCAGTGCATTGTGGGAGCAAAGACCAAAGGGAGGAACCCGGCAGGGCCCGCCCTTGCCTATTACACATTCAGTTGTCCTGAGCCTGGGAACTACCACTCCTGCGGGGCCACGTCTCTCCTCCTCTCCTCCGAGTTCCCCATTGGTTTTGGCCAGGAAAGTCTGCGTGCCTCCTTCACCAGGGACCTTAGCATCGGTATAATTTGCATGGTCTACCAATCGAGGCCCTTAAGAGCCACCTGGTATTTTTCTATCACGGGTCAAAATGGACAGATTAGGAAAGTGATTTTAAAATCCTTTTATTTTGAGATTATTTCCTGAATCTTGTTTCATGATGGGAGTGTAGTAGGAGTTAAGCACTACACATTAAATTTCAACGTTTCTTCAGCTAGTTTCTTCATAAAAATATTGCCCAAATGACTAACCCTTTATGCTGCTGTAGAACTAGTCATGTGTATAAACCATAGCTTAATAGTAATGAATAAATCCTAGTAAACTTTGGTTTTGGTAGGAAAGTGACAAATACAGTATGCTTTGCATAGGACCATCCTGGCATAAATTCCTCATTAAAATGAGTATAAATTGGGATTTATTCAACAAGAAAGAGATAGGAATACTCAAGGTGAATATTGGAATATTTACACAGAGGCAAAATCTAGAAATACAGAGAATTTTGTAAATTCTTTTACCAAATTATATAAAATCTTATTTGAAAAGAAGCTAGTATTTGGATTTGAATCATTTTATTAACCAAAAAAGAAAACTCATTTTCTTAAAATGAACTGTAAGTCAATAGACTTTACAGTGGAAAAATAGGCCCAGTGTTTAGCAGCCAGTTTACAGAAGAGGAAACCCAGTAAACGTGAGAACATGTTCTCCCTCCCCGTAATCGAGAAAGTGTGAATTGGGGTTATAGTGGGTAATTAGTTCATACCCATGAAATTAGTAAAAACTTGCAGGTGTGATATACGATGTTGGCAAGAATGTAGCTCAGTTGGAACTTTCCAGCCCACTGCGGAATTGCAGACGGGGGCACAGTTTAGAGTCATGTTAAGGGTGCGCATATTCTGAAATCCAGAAATTCCGCCTTGTGGTGATAGTACTGCAGGAAAATTCCTGCCTGTGTGCCTTAGGCAACATGTTCAATGCAGTATCACTCACAGTAAAGCAAAGAAACCTGGAAACAACCTAAACATCCCTCAACGAAATTGTAGTGTGTCCTGCAGTGGAATACTACACAGTGGTCAGAAGGAAGGAACTAGAGCTTATATGTAAACAAATTTTAAAAACATGTTGAATGATAAAACAAGTTACAAAAAGAAGCTTATTAAGTATAAAAACCTATAGAACATACTATTCTTTCTTTGGTAGAGGAGTAGCATAAAAAAGGAATAAGAACAGTAGATATACAGGGAGTTTCAGCTTATTTTTATGTTTTATTTGTTCAACTGGGTGCTAGATACATTAGTCGTTTGCAGGTATGATTCAGTATGACTTTTTAATATACTTGAAACATTTTATTAAACAGAGAAAATAACTTTTATTTTTCAAAATGATCTAGTCACCAAATATCTTTTGCCAAAAATTCTATTAAATAATTTACACATTGCAGTAAACATACAAAGGAATATCACTTTGAATGAAGATAGCTGTTAATACATTCTTCTTAGGCAGCCCTGGCTGTCAGAACAGTGTACCACAGACTGGGTGCCTTAAGTGACAGGTTTTTTTGTCACAGTTCTGGAGACTAGAAGTCCCAGATCAAGGTGCCAGCAGGACTGGGGCCTGGTGGGCAATCTCCCTGTGGGTCATATTATTTCACTCACCTTAAATAAAATGTTTATATGTTGAAATTACATATTATACAAAATGTATTGATCACCTAGTTTAATCAGTTCCCTTTAATTTGTGTCCACTTCTTATTGTACATGTGAAATTATACCCAACAAGGATTTGGATAATCACATGTGAAAGTGGAATAGTAGGCAAAATAGGTATGGAATTTTAGTAATGCAAAAGAATTCCAATCTTTTTGTTTCATTTCTTAAAATGCTGCCAGAGGGTTTGATAGTGTCTCCTGTCAGGTAGCTTATTGCCAAGGTGACATAAGTGCCCCCTGGAATGCAGTTCTGTGACACAGGGACAGCCGTGCCACGTTGGTGCGGGATGCCGTGACAACCCCATCCAGGCGGCAGTCTCTCTGCAGGTGCATTTTAACTGAGTAGCTGCTGTGGGTCAATAAAGATGAAGGAAGTCAGAACCTGCACTACTTTGGAAGGAAAGAACATAGATTGCTATGTTGTTTAGGATATTATCTGACAGCTTTCAGAGAATTACTTTTTAGTGGCATTGCTTATTTCAAAAAGAAAAAAAAAACATGCAGACAGGCTCTTCAGTCACTGTGACAGATGGGAAAACCAGCAGCATTGCTGAGTGGCCGTGAAATGGAGAAGCCAAATTGGGTGGCACTCAGGACAGGTGTCAACTGCCCAGCGGGTTCCTCGCCTGTTGGGTATCGTAGGAGAATTTGTGTCAACTCGGTGGCAGTCACACCGGATAAAGGGCTCTGAAAGCAGCGGGCTGTGTGCCGGGGCCTGGGGAGGGAGGCTGGCCTCGGCTGCCGTTTTGCCGAGGTTCCTACAACCAGGCTTGGGAAAGCTGGCAGGATGGGGCAGCCGAGCCACACTGGACTATTCCAGTGAATTAAAGTCATTCATCGTAAGGGATTTTTATTGACTTATGTTCGGACATTAAATGCCTTAATATTTCCTGCAGGAGGAACAGCTGAAATCTCACGAAAGCAAGCTGAAGCAGATTACCACGGAGCTGGCTGAGCACCGCTCATATCCCCCGGACAAAAAAGTGAAGGCCAAGGAGATAGATGAGTACAAACTGAAAGATCACTACCTGGAGTTTGAGGTATGCTGGACTAAGTGTAATAAAAGCCTATACTGAGTTATTTTATGATTTTTCCATGAGGCGATTGCAGTTACTGGAACTGCAGGAAGTGTGCCTTGCCCCTGGCTCTAACTTGGGAGCTCCAGGCCTGGTCTAGGTCACAGTAGCCCCTCACATGTACGATCCCATTTGAGCATCAGACTAACATCAGAGATAGCTGTTAGTTTATGTGCTTCAAAGCACACAGTCCGCCTGGTCAGAATGGCCAGTGTGAGGAAGCACACCAACAAGAGATGGACACGCCAGGGCGGGCAGCTGCTGGCACCGGTACATGATGCAAAGCATCTCTCTCTCCTGTCGGCAGCACCGATGCATTCCTCCTCTTACCACTTAGTGCCCTCCAGAAGGACACTGATAAATTGTGACACATCCATACACTGTAGCAAGTCCGGCTATTAAAAAGATTGGGGAGGATGCATGAACTCTGGAAGGGTGGAAAATTTAAACACAAACTGAAAGCAATCTGTGTGGTAGTGAGGGTTGCCTTTGGTTGAATTTCCCCCCAACTTAAACAGCGTCCATGCAGGTAGTGCAGGCTCGGCCCTCTGGCTCTTCCCCCCTCAGGTGCCGCTTCTCAGCATTCCACTTTTTTCCCCTGGGGTGTGCTGAATCCATCTTCAGCTCTTCCTTTTCATTGTAGCCCTAGTTCGCTTCACTTCCCATCGTTCATCTCCCGGATCCACCTTATCACCCTGTTTCCTCCTCAGGCTCGAAACTTGGAATCATCCTGGCCCTTGCAGTCCCCCAAGGTTGAATCTGGAGCCAGGGCCGGCACGGCCTCAGCCATCACTTCTTTCCCCACTGTTGCTTTTACACGTCTTCGGCTCAGACGCTGGCAGTTCATCTTCCCCCTGAACCTGGCAGTGGGTCTGAACTGTCTCCCTTCAGTTCACCCTACGTACTTCAGATCGGTTTCTCCCCTTAAGGCTCAACCCAAACTACAGCACTCCTCTGCTCCACCGCTGCCCTTGATTTTCCCCTACACCTCCCCGCAGAATTTGCCTTCTCAGGAAAGTCTCAGTCCTCTTTGTTTGTAATTTACTTTTCAGTTATAGTAGACATACAGCATTATATTAGTGGTCATTTACGTAACTTGTGAAGTGACCACCCCCAGTAAGTCTAGTGCCCACCTGACACCATACACAGTTGTTGGTGTAATAACAACAACTGTGTGTGTTATTACTGACAGTGTTCCCTGTGCTGTGCTGTGCATCCCTGGGACTGTTTTTATAACTGGCAACTTACATTTCCTAACCCTTCACCTTTTCCACCTGTCCCCCAGACTCCCTCCCAGCAGTCTGTTTTCTGTATCCATGAGTTTATTTTGTTTGCTTATTTACTTCGCTTTTTAGATTCCACATGTAAGTGCAGTCATGCAGTATTTGTCTTTCTCTGACTTATATCACTTAGCATAATGCCCCTTGGGTTCATCCATGTTGTCACAAGTGGCAAGATTTCATTTTTTTATGGCTGAGTAGTAATATTCCATTGTATGTATGTACCACATCTTCTTTAGCCCCTCGTCTATTGATGGACATGTGGGTTACTTTCATTTCTTGGCTATTGTAAATAATGCTGTAAATATATCTTTCTGAATTAGTGTTTTCCATTTCTTCAGATAAATACTCAGGAGGGGATTGCTGGATCATATGGAAATTCTATTTTTAATTTTTTGAGGAATCTCCATGCTGTCTGCCACGGTGTCTGCACCAATTTACAGTCTTTCCAACAGGACACGAGGGCTCCCTTCTTTCCGCATCCTCACCAGCGCTTTGTCCATTTCCTAGCCCCGGTCCCTAGTCTGAGGGGATTCGGGCTCCTCTCCTCCTTCCACAGCGGGGTCTTCCCGCAGCAGCCTCCACGTGTGTTAGTCGCATTTCTGCCTGCTCGCTCCAAACACACCTTTATGCCTATTTACCTGCCTTCTTCTTCCCTAAATGTTCTTCCCCTCACCTTAATTTCTGAATATCTCTTTATCTTCCAAGATGCAGCCTAAATCCCTCCTGTGAAAAGCTCTGCACTCACTGGCTGGGTTTGCTCTATAATGGTCCATCCACAGTTGCTTTATGCTCAGATTATTTCACTTTGTATTTATACTGGATTCCATATCACCTCCCTGGCCTAAGCCTGCGCACTTTTGGAGTGCAGGCACCTCAAGTTCATTTCTAATCTTGCTCTTTGCTTGTTTGGTGAATTGAACCAGATTTTATAGAAGCTGTAAAAATCTCTTTCTGAGTTATAAAATGTCTGTTATAAAATGTGGCATTAGATCCACTGCAGATCTATGTAGTACTTTTCTCCATGGTCAGGCAAGGCCTTGATCTGGGCAGATGAAGATAAACCATTCTCTTGGTAAATGCAGAAGTTTATTAGCACGAACACTAGAAGACTTACCAACAAAAGGCTTGAACAAATTAAAAACAAAAAAAACTAGGCAGCTCACCTTTCCCTAGGCTTGTCCATTCCTGGGAAATGGGAGTTCTCAAAAAGCAATCATAATTCTTCACACTTCCAGAATGGCTTTGGGCTCCAGGCCCTTTCAGTTTCACACGTGCTAATTAAATCTCCCAACACCTCAGTCCCTGGCTTCCAGCCCTCAACACCTTGCTTTGTGCCCTTGACTCCAAGGCTGAGGGCCTGTCCCCAGGCGGTGGGGAGAGGGCAGACCAGGGAAAGGTTGCCACTGCTACAAGCACTTCCTCCTGTTATTCAAAAGAGAATAAAAGCCCAAGGTGGCCCAGCAAGCTCTGTGGGGACAAGTCATTCTTTCATTGAATTCTTGCCTCCGTGAGCCTGAAGAGTGCATTCCAGGACTCTCCCGCCGCTCATTAAAGTCAGACTCCCGTGCCGATACGTCAGGCACACGGGACTGCCCGTCATGCTGCGTTAACCTGTGTCTCCCAGGAAGGCAGAAGGGTGCCTCGCTTTATAGATGTAATCTGAAAAGGTTTTGATAGAAGTAATTGTTTTTTTTTAAGTGCATCATTATTTTTCACTCATGTAGAATTGAAGTGGAGTATCTTGTGGGAGGTCCTCTTTGCTGTTATTCAGCCACCACACTTTGTCCTGGGTGTTCGCTGGTGAGATCCTTCGGGTGGCATTAAGTACTTGGCTTTATGAGCACCGTCCCTGAGCAGGCCGCTGCACTCCCTGAACAGGGGGCGTGGGAGCTCGTGCCCTTTTGTGAACTTTGTTCACTGCTTTATCCTCAGCTTCTAGAACACAGAACGCGTCTCAGCACACGCTCGGTGAGTGAAGGAGTGGGGCTGTGTTATTTATGACATGTAAAAGATAACATCACTTGACATGGTTTTCTGAGAACGCTTAGTAGCTCCCCTGACACCCCCGGGCAGGTGGGGACCGACAGCAGTGTCTGCAGGTCAGTGAGAACCTCACGTGGGCCGTGGCAGGAGGGGAACCTCAGTCTGTGTGTGGTCTTGTCACCAACAGAGAACCACAGGCAGGAATTAGTTCTCTCCCCTACTCCGGAGTCAGGGCTACCCTGGGACTTCAGTGTGATTCGGCTGTTTTCATGTCCTGGTAAGGAAAACTGCTCTCCCTTTGTTAGCACATGAAGCTGTCAGTGATAATGCTGGGAGTTGTTCCTGACTTTTTGCATTTTGGTTGCTGATTTCCCAAGTTGCTTCACACAGACAGTTCTTCATGGTGGCCAAATTCACAGCTCTTGCCATGCCTTAGAAATTCTCCAGCCCCTGACAGCAAGTAATTAGAGATTCTGCTAAATAGCTGGGTTAGGGGTTTGTTTTTAAGTCTACACAGAGTCTGCAGGGAGCCAGCAGGCTTCCATCTACCTCGGGCTGAGCCTGTCAGAGGACATTCCAAAGCAGCAGTGGGCTGCAGCTGACTTCATGCACGCTTCTCTCTCTGCTGACTGTCGCTTAAGGGGCTTGTGTGGTGTGTGACGGAACTGGCGCCCCCCAGGCTGCGGCTGGTACTTTTTCAGAAGGGTCCATTTAGAATCTAATGTCACTTTTTAAAGAGTTGTTAGGCACCACGAGTCTAAGGTAAACTCACCATCCTTTGCCAGTTTCCAAAAACAAATGATCAGAAATAGCCTCATTTCTTTACATTAACATATTTCTACTTTATTCAGTTCCCACTTCACATAAAAATGTTTGAACTGATCTCCAAGCTTCTGGTGCATTTGGAAGTGTATCCAGGTGTGGGACAGAGGGCAGTTGTGTGAGACATAAAAACTCCGGGAAAGTCCTGGGCTACAGAGATTCCCGTGATAACACTGTAGTTGGCCGCAGAAATTCAGCTTTATGTTTCTTGAGCTTTAAAAACAACAGCAATTAGGAAGTGGAGGTACTGTTTACTCCAGGATGATTTTTGTTTAACGTTTAAGATGTTTTCAGTGGCTTATGTAATTAGTTCTGAGACCCGAGTATGGAAAGGGAGGCTGTGTAGCAGCCCAAACCGATTAAAAACAAGACTGGGGATAAAGACATGACTACCCTGGACATACTGTGGGTCCAGACCACCACAATAAAGAGAATAGTGCAATAAAGCAGGTTGCACGACTTTTTTGGCTTCCCAGTGCATATAAAAGTTACGTTTACACTGTGCTGTGGTCCATTAAGTGTGCACTATAGCCTTACTTATGTCTAAAAAAAAAATGTACTCTACATACTTTAACTTTGAAAAAGCTGACAGTGCTATAAAACATTTACTGAAGAGGGATCACTGAGGGTCAAGTTCATTGAGGCTCCCTCCCAAGGTCCATGGTAGAACCAGGTGGAAACTTGGTGGCCAGCACAATGCCAGTGGATTCTATATGGTTATCAGACCAAATGTGAACATATTTTTTGGCCAGCACAGTGCTGTATTTGTCTTCATTGTGACCTGAATGCATTTATGGAAAGCAAGCAGTCTCTTCCCCACCGTGTTATAGCACATTGGGTAGGTTTTCATGTTGTGTTGTTGGCCTGGCCCCAAAG